AAGGGAGTAGTTTTTATTTCATTTATTTTCTAATTCATGCAAATTTGGATATAAACATATACAATGCTGAGGGTGGGTATGATTATACACAATTTCTGCTTTTTATAAGTCTTCCATATGTACCTGACAGAAGACTCCATAAACAGTAGTTTTTTTTCCAAATAAATAATATTTTGTTTGCACATTAGGGTTGGGTAAGATGTCTGTTTAGCAATTAACAGTACTTAATAAATTTCTTCTGTAAGACTCAAACACAGGTCAGAACGTTCCTATTTTACATCAATGGTGTAGTGTGGTTGACAGTTCTGGAGCTGCCTTTGACACAGCAGGTCCTACTGGCTGTCCATTTGCATTGTAGGCAAGACAAATCAAATGGAGCCTAATGCTTCATTTTGTGTGCATTTGCAATGCTATGTTTAGATACAAAAGGCAGCATTTGATAGCAATGCCCATTTACAATAGCCCACAAGAAAAGAAAACCTGTGTCTAGACAGCAACAGAGAAAGCTTCTGCTGTGGCTTTCTTTCACCCCATTCATCTTGTTTTTACATTTATGAATATACCCTGTTCTCCCCGATCCCATTTCTACACTCTGCAGAAATTTGGTGGGTGCCTGCATCATTCTCACATTCTGGTTGATGCCACAGGCAGACCACCAGTCAGAGATGCTTTCTTACCCAAGACCTCTACAGACTAGACTTATGAGAGTAAAGAGCAATGCACCATGAGGCAACTGCTCTGGCTGTTGGAGGATCTTAAGCTTGTGGTGATCTATTGACTAAACTTCAACAGAAAATATGATATTTACAAGGAACACAGTGCTAATTAATGAGGCTATAAAGGCACAGAAGTACAGGTTTTATTGATGATTGCAGCATACTATTAGAGTGCCTAACATGACCAAGCCATAGGTGCAGTTTGGGGAATATGTATCATCATATATGGATTTAAGGTCTACAATTTGATAAAATATTTATTTCTCTAAAGTCCTTTCATAAAAAGATTGTATAGCACTGATAATATAGTTGAAAAACATATTAAACCATAAATTAACTATTTTATTTGACATTCATATTCATTCATTTAAAAGATTCAGTTGTTATTCACATAGTATTTTTCTCCCTCCTGTTCTCAGAGCTTGTGTATACACATTTTGCATATATACTTTTCATTTTCAGGATATGTAATTATCCTTCCTGCTAAGACAGGAATCCACTTTAACCTCACTGAGGACCTGCTCAGCAAATGACCTATGGTGGAACAGAAAAGCCTTCTGCCTAATTCACCCAGTATTGCTACTCCCTAGGCTGAACATGTACACATTTTTATAATGGACATTAAGAAGGAATAACATTTGTATTTTCCATTAGACCAATCATCCGTGACTCACCACAATGAACTTTCCTCATGCTATCACATATGTTGTTTCTGAGCCATCTTTGTGGGTGGCTATGCATTTGGTGTATGATGAAAAACCTATTTTTTTTTTAAACATAAGATATAGAGGACGATGACCATGGTAAAGCATAACGTACATGTCCATCAGAAAAGATTGTGCTCTGTATCTACTGTCTTAACCCATACATGTACAGCCACCTGTACACACATTGTGAAGCTTCTGTTTTTTTTAGGTACATTGGTTTTCAATTTATAGCTTGTAATTTAATTTCTGTATATCTGTAATTTTTAAATAAAATGGGTCACATCCATTGGAACTGTACAAAGGATTGGGAATACACAAACAGCACAATAAAGTTTTAATGCACTTCAGCATTTAAAGCTTAACTCCAGGAATGATCTCTATTGAATAGTTACATTGGACCAGCCTGGCGCAATGCTATTATGCATATCTCATACCTGATGGGTTGTTGGAGAAGCTGCTAATCAATGTAGTAGTAGTTGTTGTCTTCTCCTATGCACACTGACTACAGGGTTACTCGTTCGGCACTTCTGACATTTATATAATGTCTTGTTTTTTCAGTGACTACAAGGCATTTTCTGATTGGACGGGGTGGAGAAAAGGGTCATTTACGTTACAATATCCACCTCATCCAATCAGAGAACACCTGTTGTTCATAATAAAAAATAAAATACAAGGCATTCTATGAATGGTGACAATGCTGATCATGTGACAAGCTTTTATCAGTGTGCAGAAGGGGAGTTGCTTGCACAGAACCCAGGAAATCACGGCTATCACAGTAGTAGCGTTGACTACTACAGTGATTGTCAGCTTCCCCAGCGGCCCATCAGGTGCCAAGCTGAACCAATGTAACAATGCAATGAAGATCATTCCTGGAGTTCAGTTTTAATACAGCAAGTGGGCAGCAAATATAAATGCCAATTAATAGTATCTCTGAAAAATTTTGTTCAAATTTCTGTTTGCTTACACTGTCCACATTTTTGTAGTTTATTTATGCCAGTCTTGTGACAAAGCTTTCTTGCTAGAAACCTTAACCAAGTTGTTGACCTCAATTTTTTACACTAAATCCCCACAGTTAAGCCTGGCCTCCAGCAAAGATGAGCCTGGGTGTCTTCCAAACTCATCTTTAACCTGAACTTTGAACTCCCACTTTTTTGCACTCCAATGAGTTGTGGGTTTGGTCATTCCCCACCTTGCAGCTCACATGAGCTGTTGTCTGTGTCACTGCTAGGTAGATTTTCCATGCCACTGATCTTGATAACCAGTATAGAAAGTGAAATATCTAATGTTTTACATAAATAGGTGAGGGGATATCACCTTGCTTTGGAGAGATCTTCTCGTACTTTCCAGCATAGACTTTCTGTCACTTTTATAAAGAGGTCCTCCCATACCATGAAACATCATTGGGTTTATTTACTAAAGCTGGAGAGTGCAAAATCAGACTCCCTTGTGCATAAAATCAAATCAGCTTCTAACCTCAGCTTGTTCAATTAAGTTTTGGCAATACAATCTGGAAGCTGATTGGTTTCTTTACAGAAGTGAGCCTGATTTTGCACTCTCCAGATTTAGTAAATAAACCCCAAAGTCTGACAAGTAATATCTACACTATTTGCTGAATAACTGCTGTTGTGCTAGCATCTATGTTCATCTTGTTGTCCTTCACTCCCAACAACTGGGTTGAATGGTCACAGGCATCATTCAGTCCATAAGAGGACTTGCGGTAGGCAACAAAGTGGAGTGTCTACCAAGGACAGCGCTAGAGATGTGAGTATTGGGAAATTATTTTTATATTTTATTAAATCTAGATTTGGCTTTATAATTGCTCCAAGTGGAATTTAGATAATCTGAACTTGCATACATACAAAAACCTATTTTATGACTTGCATATTTAATTTATTTGTTAAAGTTAAAATTGCAAATTATCTACAATATTATACCTATCCAGATGAGCAAAACGTAAGTTTGTTTATACTATGCTTTCAAATGTAATTACTCTATCCCTTGATATAGTGATAACATTTTCTGTTGGACAGAGAACATGCAAAGAACTAAAGACATCCCTTTCTAAAGAAACTTGCAGTCGTATGTTCCCAAAACACCCATAAAGAAACATTCACACTAGGGCCAGTTAGATGGCATCCAATGAACATGTAAATATATTTTTGGAATTCTAGAAAGACCAACCAATACATTATGTTGATTTATGTTTTATAAATAGTTGTTTTGAATAAGCTTTAATCAGCATGCAAAGAACATAGAAACTCTAGGAAATAGACCCAGGATCCCAATCCAGTAAGGCAACAAAGGAAACCACTAACCCACTTTCTAGCAAGGTACACACACTGAACTGAAAGACTAATTGAGATTAGAAATTAACTGCCTTTTTAAAACGACAATAGACTAAAAAAAAACACTACCCGATAGTTGTGGATGGAGAGGTTTTTTTTGGGAGTTCAGTAAGGAGCAAAATAATACTTCTCTTGCTGCTTCCTGCCAAGTTAAAAGCTCCGTGAAGAGCACGTCTGCCACCTGCCAATCTGCACTGTCTGTGCAAAGTGGGTAACTGAAGAAGCTTTCAAATTAATCTTTGAATAGAGACAACAGGCAGGTGGTGGAATTGATAAGTGCAGTCAAATACTGTGCTAGTGACCAAAGGACCATCCTTAATATATAACTATTAACATCAAAACTATTTTGAATCAAAATATTAGGTGGTGGTCTTCCTTAAACAACTTGTCTCTTAAGAATATGTTAAACACTAATTGAATGTTTAATAAACTTATAATGGACAGGAATGTGTAGAATCAGAATTAGGCTACATTCACATTTAAGCAGTTCCCAGCAGTATAATGCAGTCAGCTATCACAAGGAAAGCACAGCAAACACAGAACTGTCATACAAATTAGTTAAGCCCATTCATTTCCATGCACTACAATGCAATGTGTTCAGAAAACGCAGCCTGCATGGATTTGAGTACACCAGTGTGGGTTTTGGGGGATAACAGAACTAAATAATAAATTACTAAAACATATGTTGCTGCATTTCCTTGCACTTATTTTACATCTTACCAAAAAAGATTTTAAATACATTTTGCCTGCTGGTGATAGAATATAATTTTTTTTTGCCTTTTATACCATATGAACCGTAAGAAAATTCTTTATTTTTTAAAGGCAAGAAATGCAGGAAATTGCAGCAAATTGCTATTTACAAATGTGCAATAACACACAAAAATGCATGTTAGAATACTTAACTAAACAGCATGCATTTTTACATGACAACTTATGTAGCTAGTTTGAGTGTCCATGCCAATGGAGATTCTTCTAGGAACTGGCTAACCTCATTTTCCTAATTCCCAACTAGCTGCAGGTTCTGAATTAAAAAAAAATAAATAAATAAAAAAAAAAAATATATATATATATATATATATATATATATACATATATATATATATATATATATATATATCATAAAAAGCATTTAATGCAATCCCAGCTTAAAATTTTAGTTTTTGAACATACAGTAACTTATTTAGAATTCCAGTATTTTAGTAGTTGTTCCTGTTAAATATCATATTTAGTATCAGGGGCGGACTGACCATTTGGAAACCCGGGCACTGCCCGAGGGCCCGGGGTCAGTAGGGGGCCCTATGAGATGCCCCTGGTATCTTTTTCATAGGCTTTTTTGCATTTGGGCAAGGACACAGGGGCCCCATGATCCCCTATTGCCCGGGGGCCCCATGAGTTGTCAGTCCGCCCCTGTTTAGTATGCAATTTTCTCTACAAAGGTAAACTACCAGTTAATCCAAAGCTACAGTTTTTGTATTCCTATGTATGTTATGGTGTCAGAAAGATTGTTATGTCATCTTGTTAACAAGTCAGTACAGTAATCAACATACACAAACAATACAATTTATAAATTCTGTGTTGGTGGTTTGTTGGCCATTTTAACTCAGAATGTGTAGTAGTAGAAATAAATTACAATTGGAAGGCTTCTCAGAAAGAATTACATTTCTTTTTGTGTGTGCATGAAGCTTCTGCTTTGTAATATACAATGTGCATTCTCTCCACTTCATTGACTGCAGCTATACCTAATGGACATTCTACATATTAAACATGTAGATTCATACATTGTTTGGACCCCTCTTGTGTCTCAACCATCAGTCAGAAAGATGGTCTTTTTAAGGCACAAACATTTGAAAGTCAATCTTTACTCTCTCATTGGACTCCAGCCTATTCTTTTGTTTGGTGAAAGTTTTTCTTTTAACAAGTCAAATGACAATCATATTGTAGCTGATGTATGGAAAGCATCTTCTGGGAAAAATGTCTGAAATTGTGTGTTAGCAGAGGAAATTAGTATCTTGCTGTACTTAACATAGACACAAAATATTTTAAATTACAACTGGAGTTATAATAATTCCCTGCATGCTATAGATTTATTTATCTTTTTTGGAGTGTTTTGTGCTGTTCTGAGTCAGACATCCTGCCATATAACCTGCAGTATTAAAAAGTGCTTATCATTGAATTTCAAATATTTATTAAAGTGGACCTAAATTCTAAAATTAACATACTGCAAGCAGACAGAAAAGATACATGTGTTGTCTACTTTGCAATAAAATGAACATATCTACCTGCTTATTAAAAAGGCTTCTTTAAAATGTACATTGACCTGTGCATGCACGGCATAGTGCCTGTGTTCTGGGGTGACTGAACACCTGTGCATGGGCAGCCAAGTTTACATTCTGACATATTGCCTGTGTTCCAGGGGGACTGAACTTCTGTGCATGTGCAGCTCAGTTTACATTCTGGCATAGTGCCTGTGTTCTGGGTTGACTGAACTCCTGTGCATGGGCAGCCCTGCTTACATTCCGGCACAGTGCCTGTGTTCCTGGGTGACTGAACTCCTGTGCATGCGCAGCTCAGTTTAAATTCCAGCATACTGCCTGTGTTCCTGGGTGACTGAACTCCTGTGCATGCGCAGCTCAGTTTTAAATTCCAGCATACTGCCTGTGTTCCTGGGTGACTGAACTCCTGTGCATGCGCAGCTCAGTTTACATTCTGGCATAGAGCCTCTGTTCTGGGTTGACTGAACTCCTGTGCATGGGCAGCTCCACTTTCATTCCGGCACAGTGTCTGTGTTCCAGGGTAACTGAATTGTGCATGTGCAGCTCAGTTTACATTTTGGTATTGTGCCTGTGTTCTGGGGTGACTGAACTCCTGTGCATGGGCAGCCCTGCTTACATTCTGGCACAGTGCCTGTGTTCCGGGGTTATTGAACTTCTGTGCATGCGCAGCTCAGTTTACATTCCAGCATAGTATCTGTGTTCCAGGAGGACTGTACTCCTGTGCATGCACAGCTCAGTTTACATGCCAGCATAGTGCCTGTGTTCCGGGGTGACTGAACTCCTGTGCATGGGCAGCCCTGCTTACATTCCGGCACAGTGCCTGTGTTCCTGGGTGACTGAACTCCTGTGCATGCGCAGCTCAGTTTATATTCCACCATAGTGCCTATGATCCTGGATGACTGAACTTCTGTGCATGTGCTGCTCAGTTTACATTCTTACATAGAGCCTGTGTTCTGGGTTGACTGAACTCCTGTGAATGGGCAGCTCTGCTTGCATTCTGGCACAGTGCCTGTGTTCCAGGGTAACTGAACTGTGCACACGCAGCTAAGTTTACATTCTGGCATAGAGCCTGTGTTCTAGATTAACTGAACTCCTGTGCACGGGCAGCTCTGCTTACATTCCAGCACAGTGCCTGTGTTCCGAGGTAACTGAACTGTGCATGCGCAGCTAAGTTTACATTCCTGCATAGTGCCTGTGTTCCAGGGGGAGTGAAATCCTGTGTATGCGCAGCTCAGTTTATGTTCTGGCATAGTGTTCTGAGGTAATTGAACTCCTTTGTATGCATAGCTCAATTTGCATTCCGGAACAGTGACTGTATTCTGCGGTGACTGAACTCCTGTGCATGGTCAGTTCAATGTACATTCCTGCATAGTGCCTGTGTTCTGGGGTGGCTGAAATTCTGCATATGCCCAGCTCAGTTTATGAATGTTAGTATGGGCATATTCAACTACAAAAAATATTTATAAATGCTTGAAATGGCTTGCTTTTGACACATTGGGGTTGATCTACTAAAACTACATGGTGCAAAGTCTGGTGCAGCTCTGCATAGAAACGAATCAGCTTCCAGGTTTCTTTGTCAAAGCTTAACTGAACAAGCCAAAGTTAGAACCTGATTGGCTACCATAAACAGCTGCATCAGACTTTACATTCTCCAGTTTTAGCAAATCAACCCCATATTCTCTTATTTATTAAAATGTACGTAAACCCTAATGACAGGGGCGGACTGACCATTTGGAAACTCGGACACTGCCCGAGGGCCTGGGGTCAGTAGGGGGCCCCATGAGATGCCCCTGGTACTTTTTTCATAGGCTTTTTTGAGTTTGGGCAGGGACACAGGGGCCCCATGATCCCCTATTACCCGGGGGCCCCATGAGTTGTCAGTCCGCCCCTGCCTAATGATTAACGTATTTGCTCATATTTCATCTGTTTATTATACCATTAAAAGCATTTTGCTATATATATTTGCTAAGTTAAAAAAAAAAAAGTGGGAAGTTTTTAAGAAAGCATTCGGAAATGAAGAAGGTAGAAACTGAAATTAAGTTTCCATATGTCATTGCAGGAAAAATAGTAAAGATGGGGGAGTGGGATTTTTTTAAGTGAAATTCTGGGCTTAACTCTAACTACTCTTAAAACTGTCCCTTATTCCCTCTTAACACCTATACTTACTTATCTGTGTAAGAAAGATCTGTTTACTTACCTATTTTCAGCACACTCCGTTCTGGTTATCTGATCCCATTCCCCTGTCTCAGTTAGCACGGCTGCAGTGGAGAGGAGGGATCACCGACTACAGAGGGGCCATTAAATCTTATGGGTGATGTCACTGCTTCAGACTTTGCTAATCATTGTCAGAGTGCTCTCTACTCTCCCCTGCAGTGACACTGACAGACACAGGGGACCATGTGACCGGAACAGAGCAATCTGAAAATAAGTAGGTATGCAGATCTTTCTTACACAGGTTACTAAGCATAGGGGTTAGGAGAGGGGAGGGGACTGTTTTCAGAGTAGTTAAGGTTAAAGTGTTACAAAACCCTTGACTCTGCATTCACTATGTCTAGTCTCCTACAGTACACAGAACATGGAAATGCAATTGTTTTAATAAATATAAGCTGCTAAATACCTTTTCTCATCAGCAGTACACAGCAGTCTTGTGACTTCTATCAGTGTCCGACCGAGCGCTGGTTAATCTTGTAGGAGGAGTTTTCATTCTCCTCTGACTGTCCTATGAGGCTGCATGACCCCTGATCCTATGTCTAGACAGCACTGATTGGCCCTGTACTGATCACATGCACCCCCCCCCCCTCCGCCAAAAAAAACCCCTCTCCAGCAGTACACATCAAACAGAGCATGTGCAGACTTGCCACTACTACTCTAACTATGGCAGATGGATTGGGGACAGTAAAAGAAGGGGGTGGGGAATCAGAAAAGACAGGAATAAATAACCCTTTAATGCAAAGGATTAACCCCTTAGATTCCACGATGAGTATAACAAGCATGTTTTACTGCATATACAGACTAATTTTACTGTTGTGGGTTTAGTTACACTTAAAGACTGGAATTCCCCTTCAGTAATCCCAGATTATCATTTTAACATGAACCTGCGCTTTACCAATGCGCGTACCTGCCCCCATCTATCACTGTTTATATTTATCTTCTGTTCACTCTCCACCACCCATTTTGCTTGCTGGAATAAAGTGTAAGCTCAAAGTTGGTCTATTCAGAGCTTACACAGGCCTGAGGACATCTGTTATGGGATCAGTTTAGAAAGTATATATCAGTATTTATCATTTATTTACACAAGCTTATCGAACCTAGTACAACAAAATAGCAGCTGCTGTGGAACTCATGAGACAAAGGAGAGTATGACAAGCAAGAGACCTGTCTGTGAAAAAAATTATGCTACTACTTCAAGTTTTAGGCAGCACTAGATCACATGTTGTTGTAACAATGTAACTAATGCTGGAACCTGCTAAGAAATCTCTATTTTAAGTGTGGATGTGATGTTTCTATTTTTTGTGTGAAGTGAAAAAATATTTCAGTACATGAGTGATAACCAACCACTTCATCTACAACTGTTGTGCCACCATGCTGTGTAAGCTGAAGAGTGTATAAAATCAAACATGATGCTGAGACCTGCAGTTCTACTGCCGCTGAGCATCTACTGGTTTATATTCACTGTATTAAAAAAAAATAAAAATGGTGCTGGTATTCAACATAAAAATCAAAGAATGGCATTGCCTATAGTATTAAATGTCTATTTGGTATTATGCTCCCTATTTTTTATTTTTGAAAATTCTCTTTATTGAGTTATAAAGTAGAGAATACAAAACAAAGCTTATTGGGTATACCCAGGCATGATCAACTCACAATAATAATAACAAAAGCAAACAAACAGAGGAAAAACACAACTAACAAAAAGGGTGAACAACAACAAACAAACCAAACCACAACCACACTCAATGAAATCACAAGGCGTATATGGCAGAAGACAACTCCCACAGAAGGAAAGCACAGACAACCCACACTGAGGAATGATAGAGGTAGAGAACCACCACTTGATTCTAATCAGGGCTAGAAAGGACCGACTCAGAAGAGTCAATCCAGATATGCTACACCTTCATAAATTTAGTGGGACACCCCTGGATTCATACGTGTATTTATATAGAGGGAGAACTGTATTGACCAGATGTTTCCAGAAACTGGATGTGGGAGTATGAGGGGACTTCCACTTTAAGAGTATCGCTTTGTGGGCATAAAAAGCAAGAAACCAATCAAGGTTCTCATGGTGCGAGAGACAGCCAAGGCCTGAACCAAACCCAACAGACAAACCTCAATAGATAGTGGTACAAAAACCATGCTTATAGAGGATTCACTGTTGACTACATCTGTCCAGTATCTCTGGATAACCGGGCAGCTCCAGAAGATATACAAAAAATGTAGCAGGATCCTCAGGGCAATGCCAACAACCAGAAGGGTGCGCTGGGAACATCCTTCGCAGCCTCTGAGGGGTATAATATATTCTGTGTAGAATCTTAAACTGAATCAATCAGTCATAAATAGAAACCAGTTGATGCACAGGATGCCCCCATATGTCCTCCCAATCCCCAGAGTCCAAATCAGTAACATCTACACGCCATTTTGCAAAAAGATGTTCAAGGCCAATATAGATTGACGGCTGTAAGGCTTTATAAATAGAGGAGAGGGGTTTCTTCAAGGACTCATCCCACAGCATGGACTCACACCCTATCTCCAAAAACTGTAGTGGACCACCCTGATGCTCCCTATTTTTAACCCACTGGTGGGATCTCATAGATTAATTTAATATTTTAGACACTAATTAGATATTGGATTATAAAAAGTTACCTGGCATGCAAAAGGTATTTGGCTATAGAGAATGTAAGTCTTTGCTCTCTGCAGTAACTACTAAACATGTGTATGTATAGTGTAGGACAGGGGTCTCCAAACTTTAAAAATGAAGGGCCAGTTTACTGTCCTTCAGACTTTAGGGGGGCTGAACTGTGGCCAGTGGGAGAAGAAAATGTCCTGGCATCAGTGGGCGTAAAACACTGCCTCATCATTATTATTAAAGGGAGATATAGTGCCCCATCACTGCTATCAATGGGAGGAATAGTGTCCCATTGTTGGCCTCAGTGGGAGGAATAGTGTCCCATCATTGTCTTCAGTGGGATGAATAGTGCCCCATCATTGGTGTCAGTGGGAGGAATAGTGCCCCATCATTGGTGTCAGTTGGAGAATAGTGCCCGATCATTGGCGTCATTGGGAAGAATAATGCCCCATTATTGTTGCCAGTGGAAGGAACAGTGCCCCATTGTTGATGTCAGTAGCAGGAACTATGCCCCACTGTTGCTGATGGTGGGGGGAATAATGCCCCAAGGGCTGGATAAAAGCAAGCAAAGGGCCACATCGGTCCCTGGGCCACAGTTTGGAGACCACTGGTGTAGGACACTGCTCAGACTGACCTGGTACTTGTAGAGTATATTGAGATCTGTGGCCTCAGCCAGTGCTGCTCTGGCCACGCCCTCTGATGCATTTCGCCCCACCAACCAGGGCATGGTCACAGAGGTGCTAGACACGTGCACGCTGTAAATTTTTATTTAGTTTCAACTGTATTTGAAACTAAGCATCATACTCATTATGTTGAACCCATTTGTTTTCAGAAGTTCTTTAGCATCTTTGGTATTTGTTTCGTATATTCATTGGTCCGAGTGGATTCGAAAAAATTTGCATTTTTTCCAGAAGTTTGCTATATATTTAGTCACTGTGGGGCAGCACAGTGGCTAAATGGTTAGCATTTCTGCCTGGCAGTACTAGGGTCGTTGATTCATATGCCAACCACAGCACCACCTGCTTGGAGTTTGCATGTTCTCCCTGTGCCTGAGTGGGTTTCCTCCGGGTTCCCCGGTTTCCTCCCACCCTCCAAAGACATGCTGGTAGGCTAATTGGATCCTTTCTAAAGTGGCCCTAGTATGTGTATGTATGAATGTAGGTTAGGGACCTTAGATCGTACACCCTTTGAGGATTAGGGACTGATGTGAATGTGCAATATATATGTAAAGCACTGCATAAATTGAGAGCGCTATATAAGTACCTGTAATAATAATAAAAAAATATTATTATCGAATCATACAGACTTGAATATGACAGATTCAATATTTTTGGACGCTAATCCAACCCAACAGGAGAAATGCTATGAACTGCTTGGACAATATTAAATGGTGTCATGTGCATCATAATTAACAAATGGAATGAAATTCAGATCCATTTATTAGCTGAATTTGAATTATTGAACAAATTCGAAAATTGAATAAATTTCACCATGGGCTAGAACAACTATCGCATTGTGTGATGTCATCCGAATGAAACATATGCATTGGTTAATTTCGGTGTAACTTTTTTCAGATTCGTTACAATTCATTTCTGTGTCCATTCGGAGATTCAGATACATTCAAATGAAATTTTCATCTGAAAAACGAATTAAAACAAAACAAATTGTACAAATCTAGTAGCTACCCAAAAGTGTTGATTTGGTGTACAATCACTGAGCTTACAATTCTTTAGGTCAATACCACGTGTGTAATTTTATAAGAGAAACACTAGAGATATGACGCCACTGGCTCACAGTGGTGCAATATAGTTATTGCAGATGGTTTCGCATGAAGCAGATGCATAGCCTTTGAGAGTTGCCAAGTAGAATGATACTTGAGAAATCAGGTGTCAGGAAAAGCTCTGTCCAAGATGATTCCAGCTGACAGAAAGAGTAAGTAATTTTTGCTCACCATGGGAGCTCATCACCTTTGGTAAGACAACAGGGGGTGAATATGGCCATGCAACCACTTGTACCATGAATCCACATTTAATATGTGATAATTTGCAAAGATACAACTGCAAAGAAGAACACCAATCAACATGCTTCTATTACCCTG